ATTAGTTCTAATCATCAATTTTGAATGCTGAGGAGTGCTACAATAAGCGCCGTTGTATGCGATCACGTTTGTCCACTGCTATTTTGATAACATTAAACCGAATCATAACATTAAACGATGAGAAAAAATAGGCTTCAAAAAAGCAATGGAATTTAATTAATTTAATTTAATATAACTTGAAGCATATAAGTAAGCCCTTTCACGGCATTTCGAGTAGGAAAAAGCTAAAGTATGTTTATGAACTGTTCATAGCATTTCTGGAAATTGTTTAACTAGTGCTGTATGCTGTACTTCTAATATTAATACACAGAGGGCATTTCTCATTCGAAGAGTGTAAAATTTAAAATTAAGCAAAAAAGCAACCTTAGTTTGGCGTAAATTTTTTCAGAGATTTCCCCTCCCTCCAGAGGAAAATATTCTGTCTGTACACATTTTTTTGCTTCTGAAGAAGAGGGACCTGCGTTTGAGTTCAAAATTAATAGAGTTATGGAAAATCTACCCCAGGCTAAGGTTTTTTTTAGCCTAAGTTTAAATGGTTCATTAAAACCGAAAAGTAGCTTTTTGGCGATTTTATAAGGCACTTTCCCCCTCCTTCCAGCAGGCCTTCGTGGTGTAACAGTAGCACACTCGGTGTGTATTCGTGAGGTCCAGGTTCGAGTCCCGGGGAGGGCATTGCTCATTTGTCATGTACTCCTGCTTCAAAAAAGCCTAATGACCTTACAATGGCGCCCGAACTAAAAGGCGTTGGACAATAATTCGTCACCACCAGGATTTGACGACTGGTGGATCCAGTCGTCAAATCCTGGTGGTGACGAATTGACGACTGGATTTGACATCCCCTCATTTTCTCCATGGAGGTAGGAAGTAAGAAGGAGTCGCCCTAAACAAGTTTCTCCGTACCCTGCTCTGAAGCACCGGCGATCCCTACGTGGTGACCAAAACATTGGGTCATTTACCATTGAGTTCTATGGGATTTGACGCGTTCGGGTGTAAATATTTTGTAATTACGTCGCAAATATACATATAAATGTATATATTTTCTTTTTCTACAACACTTCAGAGTCCTAAGTATGTGAAAACAACATATTTTTAAACAACATTTCATTCTGAACGGAATTAAATGCTATACTTTTCACAGGACAGTTTTCTCAGAATGGTTTAATTTGAATGAAATATTTTCACAAGTTTTCATTAATTACATTAGAAAAAAAAAATAAGGTAATTCGATTTTATTCGGTTAAGGTACAAAAATTAAGATCAAAGTTTATTGTATTATTAATATTAAAATTATGCATTATTTCTTTTCTATTTATAGAGCTTCTTCCTAAAATACTTTCTTAAATATGACATGATTTTTTGGCTTCTTTTAAAATCGAAAAATGTAAGTCAATTTATAATTAATACTCTATTCGGTTCATTTTAAATTAGAGAATTATTAGGAATTAGCGAAATACTTTAAATAGTACTTGACTTTCTCTGAACATTTCTGAAAGGGAATAAAATAAGTTTTTTTTTTTTTTTTTTTTAAAGTATTATTTAAAACTTGTAACTGAGTTATTATAAAATGTAAAGGGAATAATTCTTTTAATTATACTTATCAGATTTTTTTTTAACCCTTCATTTCAACAATACATATTCCAAAACTCTTTATTACGTTCTTAAGTGCGCATCTCATAGCATTTGCTTTACAATACCTTTTAACAGATTGCTTTCCAATACGAACAATTCTTGCTTAAATAGTTTTATAACGTATTTGTCAACAGGATTTCAATTTATGTTTACAATTCAATATTAAGGTTATTATATATTTAGATAACATTTATAATCATTATAAATTAGATACATTTAATCATTAGATTTCTTCACAGTACTTTCACAGTTGTTTATAAGTGAATAAATTCTTCATTTCAAATACATTTATAAATAATTTAATGAATATTTAAGTATTTTGTCAAAGGCAGATACATGCTTTTTGCAAGCACATGCATAAATACCCGTACATATTTCCTATTTATCATTTCCGGCATGTGCAAATCTTTAATTTCTGTGCATTCACTATATTTTTTGTGTAAAGTAATTTACACTAATTTAGCATACACCCGAAAGTTTTACATAAAAAATATATATGAATATAATTTGAATGAAAATTATAAGTATTATTTTTAATACCCACTCAAAGGTCAGTTTTTCTTCAAAATTCCTCCACGATGGCATCTCTCTCTTTAGGCAGATAGCCCTTGCATGCGTTACTCTATTTAATAAAAACTTAATCTGACCTATGTGCCTAATTACAAATATTTTAACATACATAATTTTATATTTACATTTAGCCATCAAGTTTCAAACTTTTCAAATCTTCTAGAAAATAAATTTTGGCAGAGATCTTTTAGCAATTTTCTTAAAATCTATATTTTTGTAGTGCAACAGCTTAGAATTTTATAAAACAAATTCATAATCAAAATCGCTGTTGTTAGTTATCGAAAAATAACCAAGATGTGATTTTTGCGTAAATGTCAGTAAACTATACAAATTGCTATTATCCATCACACTATGAATGTTTCTTTCATGCGAGAGTGTCCCTTTTTCGATTTCTATGGAACTGTCGTGTGTCGAAATACTATCAGAATCTTGTCAAGCGAGCTTCTGAATGTAAACAAAGAACACCCCGCCTGGTGACCCAAGCTTCAAAGCAGTGCTTCACTTCTAGCGCGGAATGGCCCCTCCTCCCTTTCCTACCTCCATGATTTTCTCCCTTCGTTCCATATGCCTTCCTGGTGTAATTGGAAGCATACTCGACGCGCATTCGAGAGGTCCAGGTTAGAGTCTCGGCGAGGGCATTGCACATTTTTCAGATCTCCTGCTTCAAAATAATCTCTACAACTTAATCTTTTACTTGGCGCATTTTCTTTGTCACTTGCCAATTTTATAATCTATTGTGACCTTATTTGATGACTTCAGTTAAAAAAGTATATTCTGTAAAATTTTGCTGATAGTAACGGAACTGTTGATCACAACAAGCGATGCACATATCCCGTGTTTTCCAGAATAATAACTTTAACCGCGATCACATTAAGCGGCGAGTACTGTAGATGAGTTTTAAGAAACATAGGGCAGGCCAAAAATTTTAACTTATGGCAAGATTTAAGTTTTTTGCTAATGTTTAAATTAATTTTATTGCTTATTCCTCTTACTTTTATGAAAGTCTGATGTATAAAAATTTTCTAGTTTTCAGACTTTTATATGAATTACGTTTTAATATTTTGTTTTTATTATTATTTTAGCTCGTTTTGTTATGAAAGTGACTTCATACTAAGAAAAAGGTTTAACTATGAATACTTAGATTAAATATATTGAAACTACTGGGATTTAAATTACAGCCTTTTATTTGAAATCTTTTGAGTTGTGGGCAGATTAAAAATACATTCTAAAATTTGTAATAGTGTAATATTGAGAGAGTTGAGTATTCCGAAAAAGGTGTATGTTAAAAAGCTTTTGCCAATATTTTCTATAAACGTGGCACATAATTTACTATTTAGAAGTATGTGCCATAATGGAAATAACATCAATGATGGTCAACGCAATGGAAAATTTGGTGGCGTTACCTTCTCATGAATTTTAGGTAATATAATATTACCTTTTGGAACCAGTGCTATGTTTCAAATATTTTAAAGAGCTGAACTTGTTAATCAAATATTTATTCCTGATTGTAAATATATAATGAGTTATATTTTTCTAAGAAGTTTGTCTTGATTGGAGGATATTAGCTTAAGTCAAAAATACGTAAGCAGAGTAACTGTAACTCTTTCCATTTAATTCTTAAGTAATGGAATTTGAAAATATTCCCATTTTAGTTTTTGAACCAAAGACCGTAATTGAAGTGTAATGCATTTAAAAAAAGAGGAAGAGGAGGACGGGAAAAGTAATATTAACTTTTCTGCATAGCCTTTTTTAGCATACGTATTTATTTCGTCATTATTGTTGTGTAGAGACATAAGGATTTTTTGGAAGCAGGAGATGTGAAAAATGAGCAAAGCCTTCGCCGGGAATCGAACCATGGACCTCTGGAATACGCGCCCAGCGTGCAGGCCACTACACCACAAAGGCACGCTAAGAAGGCGGGAGGAATACCTTATATACTCCTTTTCAAGGGCGACTGAGGTTTTAGGGGACCGAATCGCCAAATTCTGGGTGTGGAGGATCATCATCCACCACCCTTTTAGTTCGGGCGCCACTGTAGAGTTTGGAAGCAAGAGAGATGAAAAATATGCAACGCCTTCACCGGGAATGGAACCACGGACCTCTGGAATAGCGGCCCAGCGTGCAGAACCACTACACCACGAAGGCACGCTAACTTTTTCGGTTACTCAAAGAACTTTTTCGGTGTCTTCTCAATTTACCTATTTATGGCATGGTTAAACTCTCAAACACGTAAAGGTTTTTTGAAATGTGGGAACAGAATGCTCCCCGCAGACATGGAACAGTTTCTAAAATTTTCACTTCCTCTTTCTACGAAACGAAAATAATTGTTCTTCGCATCTTTCAGGGTTGCAAAAGCGGTGCTACAAAATTGCGCCAGTATCTGTCAACTCCAGTGCAATAAAGAATATTGCACGGAATAGCTGCATAAACATGTCAAGACTTGGCTGTGGCCGATAGCGTTGCCTATAAATCTAGAACTTTGAAAACATCCTGCATAAATATATACTTCGTAAATTTTTTCTAGCTTCATTTGTGAGATTCTACGGAGCTTGAGGCAAGGTTCATTTTTAAGGCATTATTCTATTTGCGCTTATATTCCGACCACTGGGTTTGAGAGCTGTTTTTTTGGAAGCTTTGCATTCTAGACTTCTCGTGTTGTGTAAGGCTTTAAAATAACTGAGTGTTGATATTTAGTTGGTCCCCCCTACGAGTTTTCTCCTTAGAGAGGTTGGTGTAGGCACGATTCAGCAGGGATCCAGTCATCTTAGCTGAGATAGGTGAAGGCATCATGCCTTCCTAAAAATTGCCTTTCAGTGGGAATGAACTCCAAATCTCTCTGGAACCGATTGATGATATATCTATACATAAACGCTGAATTGGAGGGAGAAACTTCACGGCACAGTTCGGGTGAAGATAACGAAAGTTGTGTTTGTAACCTGCAGGCACGACTTTCAACCCGGAGCATACTAGGTACCGTTCTTCAAAGAGTACTTCCCCCCAGGTAATTATTTATTATTTTTTCCCTCTATGATGGTTTACTGGGTACTTTGTGGTCACGTTTTAGTAGCATCACATTTACTTACTACTCTTTTTTTTTTTTTTTTTTTTGAACTGCACCACGGTCTTCCTTTTCCTTAGGTACCAACCACCTCAGGGTATGTTTCCTAGTGGTGTGCTAAAAGGTGGGGTGGTGAAACATGGTTGTAATTTCATAATTAAGAACGTGTTTAGTGTTTTCGCTCCCGTTTCCCGGTACCGCTGTGAAGCGCCTCTGAAGTTGGGGCTAATTTTGAGCCCTAGTTATCTTCAATTTATATTGAACAGTGAGTGATTTTGTTCCCCTTCTTGAGAAAATTGGAGAGGAGTAGAGTGGGTTCGGGAGGACCAGAGATTGAGTTAAAAGACTTTAACATTTATTTAGCAGTTTGAGTTTTTCTTCTTCTTTCATTTGACAGCTTTGTTTCGGTACAACTATTGATTGTATTATAAAGAGGTGAAATTATGATTTCACATAGTCTAAGAATTCTTTTTCTTATAAGCGTTTATTTAGTTTACTCATGGTGCTGCACTCTACGACGTGGTGAAGCGATTTTGTTTTGTTTCAAAATTAGATTAAAAATTTTTTGTTTAATGTTTAAATGATTTTTCCCACATACCTTCGTTTAACGAACAAGCTAAACGTGTCAGAATTTTACTTGTTTGCATCATCGAATAGAATGGAAAAAAATCTTTTCAATGAAAATTAAAATTATACCTTAGTTTCTGAATTTTTGAAAATTGCGCGATTTTTTTAGACTGACGTTTATGATTTAAAATTTCAGCATATAAAAGTGTATTGGATATAAAAGTTTTGAAATTTTAACAGGTTATAAAACAAACTTTGCGTCCTCATTTGAAATATGAATGATTAAAAAATAGTAATAGAGCAGTTTCCTTCATTTTTATTAAAAATGTGTTGCAATCTGAAGTAGACGGGAAAATAAAGCTTTACTTGCGGAAAAACTCCTTTCGATCTTGGGCGCCCACCAGTGGCCGAGCGGTAAAGTCGCTAAACACCGGTAGTTCGGTCCGAGGTTCGAATCCCACGAACAGGCTGGCTGCATGGGCGTTTTCGTGGTTTTCCCCATGTGTAACGTGTATACGAGCCAGTTTCCTTTAGAAAGTCCTCCACGAAGGCATCCCTCCCGTTAGGCAGATAGCCCTAGTGTGCTTTGCCATAATTAATTAAATACACACCTTTCGATCTTGGCGTCTTAAGGGTCTTGGCGACGAATTGGCGGTGTTTTTCCTTTTTCCTCCCATTTTACCTTAAATAAAATGCTTTTTATTAACACTGTTATCACATCGAATTTACGAAACTCAATATTTAAAGCAATTTCTGCATTCCCCGAGTAGCGTTCAGTTATTTTTCTTTATTTCATAATTTTCTTATAATTCATTGGTTGTAGTTTAAAAATGACTAAAAATTTCATCATTGATGTGTGCAATTGAGATTAAAAAAGTACAATTAAAAAAAGCTTTTTATACAATAAGCTTTTATTTAAAATGGATATAATAATTAATGCACTAAAGGGAGAAAAATAATGAACCATATTGTGGAAGGCAAACAGTAGATTAAATAATTCTATTTATAGAATTCATTTACAGTTTTATATCGCGATTAATAAAAACATAACGCCTAAATAACGAAATCTGTTAATTTAATTGCATTGTGAAATGCATAAGCCATTATCTTTTTAAATTTATCATGACCCGTGCTTTTATTATTCGCGATATAAGATTTTTGATTGCTAGAATGTAAATAGATTTATTTAATCTAGTACTACCATTAAACTGTATGATAAATTATTTTTTTCTTTTGAGTGCATTTATTGTAGGGAAGCGTCTCTTACTTAAATAAAAGGTTACTGATATCTGCAGATTTTGAATTAATTTTCACAAATAATATTTTGATTATCTTTCAGAATTAATTTGCTTTTACCTCCTTATTATGTGCGTACTGTTAGATTAGTACATAGTTAGATATGAAAATACTTTAGCTTACTCCGTGCTTGAAACAGCTTTAGTATGGGTATTGATCCTCAAAGTATTAAGTGTGTTTTAGGGAAAAATAAACTTTTAAACATCATTAAGAAAATAAATGTAAGAAGTAGGCGTGTATCAAATGTATGAAGTAGAAATGATGAATGTAAAATCACTAAAAAATTTTATAATTCTTGGCGATGATGAAAAGCGAATATAATATAAGGTAAAGCAATATGTGTTTAAAAATCAGTATTGCAAGTTTTACATATTTTAACGTGATTAGCCAAAAAAACTAAGTTTTACAGTTATTAATTAAGGAATCACGAGCTTGTAATATTTTTTAAAAACTTGCATTGAATACTCAGCTATTTCGGGATTTATATATATCAAATCTTTTTTAATTTCATTAATCCACCTTTAAGATTTTAACGTTACATAACAGAATTTGTTAAGTTTTTTTTTTTTTTTTTTTTTTTTTTTTTTTTCCCCTCTTTCGGAGTATCTCAGGCTACGAATCCTGCTCTTAGACTCACTCCTGCTAATAGATTTTTTTTTTCCGTCTTTTTATCCTTATTATTAAGCATCGCTTTTTTTCGCACTTACACTGTATAAAATTTAAGAGCAAACTAACAAAATATTTAAAAACAGCATACCTTTTAAATTCTTGATAAAGTGTTATAGGCTGTAATACATTTTTTTTTTATTTTCGCTATATTGTTTCTTTTAAAACTAACCACTCGAGCGGCCAATCGCCTACAATATATATGTAATATTGTGGTAGACAGGCACAGGAATGACGAAGCTTGGCATCAGAATCCGGACATTGTTGTGCCTGATTGTAAGTAAGGCATTCAATGACGACACACAGAAGAATTTAACTTTATAGCTCCATATCTGTATTCAATTCAAACGGCAGATCATTATTCTTTCAAATTGTCCAAAACTATAATGAAACTATAATTTCATCCAATAATGATTTAAATTAAAATGAGGTTAAATTTAAGCTTTCAACTTCATAACTATTCTAATAAAGGGAAGAAGAAGCGACAGAGGACGGCAAGGTCTTATGGTAGAATGCAGTCTCATGAAAAATTGCGCGAACTCTTTATTTATATAGCAGCGGTTACGTAACATGCCCGAATGTTCTCGAAAGTACTGGTCTAGGGAAAAGATCCCGAAATCGCGGAAAGTTAATTAAGGGTTACCTGTTCGCGTAGAGCAAAGCCATTGCATTTTTTCTATTTTACATCCCCCCCCCCTCAAAATGAGAGGCCGGGAGAGTGCATTAGTACATTAGTGAAGCAAGAAAAAATTTTAAAAGTATGAGGAAAGATATGAAGAAAAACATCCAGGACATAGCTTTAACTATGCCCTACTATAACTCATGATCTTTCTCATATAATTAGAAACTTCTTAATTGTATAATTTTACAATGGAACCTATGATTTATAAATAAACATATGATTTAGAACTATAAGACAGTAATATATGGAAGAATAATACTAAATAATAAATTACAATTCTAAAAATCCTCGATTTTCTTCAAAATGTCCATTGAAAAGTGAAAGTTTTGTTTTAAAGTCCTTTCACAAAAAATAGTTTGAAGTTATATGAAAATGCTTTTTTAAAGTCTCTTGATGTCAGTAAGTCCACAACACTTTTTTCAATGAAGATAGTTCCATAGTAAGTTTTGAATACAAGATGTTTAAAAATTTTGCGGGGAACATCTTTTCACTTAAAACTTAGATGATATACAATTTATGCGTAATGTACTACTTGCATTCATTCTTCTCATCGTAGGTAATCAAGAATACATTGACATATTTTAAAGCAATATAAAAATTCAATAAAAAACATTATAATATAATACACCTTAAGAAAACAATTCAATATAAATCTCTAATAATATAATGCAATATTTGATAAGACAATAGCATCTTGAATAAATCTTTGGCATGTCCTCTCCAACAAATTTGCTGTTGGTTGGGGGGTGCATAAGTACAAAATATATATTAAAAAGAAAAAAAAAAAAAAAAAAAAACCTCCACTGGCTAATAAAAGGTAAGTGGTTTTTTTGGTGTTGTGCATTGAATCAAAGTCTTTTGTAAAAAAAAAAAAAAAAAAAAAAAAAAAAAAAAAAAAAAAAAAAAAAAAAAAAAAAAACATCGTATTTTTTTTTTTTTTTAAATTTTACACGCACACACATATATATAATGATTTTAATGAATCCAGCTAGTGTCATTTTATATAATTAATTAATATTTTAATTATTCTTCTCACGATATAAATGCATTCTGATTTAAATCAGTCGGATTAAAAAGTAGAAAAAATATTTTTAAAAACTGTGTTTATTGCTTTTCCATCATTTGTCTTGCTACTCAGTAACAGAAATATTAAAGTTAAGTTTTACTCTTTGCTGAATGGCAACACATTGGCGTATAGAGCTAATACGTATTCTATTTGAGGGAGTGACGACATATTTATTTCTGAAAACGTGTTTATATTTATCAAATTAAAAATAATAATATAAAAAATTGTTAAACGTAAATATAATAAACCATTTTTTCATTCTGTAAATACCTTATGCAAGAGTGAGCAGTTAGTTCATTCAATAGTTTATAATTAAGAAATTTTTTACACCTTGACATAGTTTTAAAAATTATGTATATTTGTTCATCTGGCAGGAGGATCACGAGGGGGTGGAGGAAAGTTTTCGTAGCTGTCATATGATAGGAAACGGGAATAAAAGCAACGAAACTAATCTACCGAAGGGTAAAATGGAGTAGAAAAAACTGGGATCAGGTTTTAATCCGCCTTCTTTCAAAAAGCATCTTTGAAAAGAATGATTTCTTAGAAATTTGAGGGTTCAATGGCAAGAGTTCTTAACCAAATAAAAAAGAGAATCGTCATCTCCGAACGCCTCACAAACGGATCTTTTGATATCGCCACGTGCACGTAGCCTCTGGCTGCCAGTTT